CCGGTGGCCATCCGCGCTTGCGCCTGGCTGCCGTGAGCAGCGCTGCGACACGCGAGCACCCCAGCATCTCCGCAGCAGGGCGTTCACTTCCTCTGAGTGCTGCTGCAGAAGGGAGCAGACCGCGCGCTGGATCTGGTTTCAGCGCTCTGGAGGGACGCACGTACTGTTCTCTGCAGCAGCTGCCTAATTTATCTTCCCAGCAGCACGTCCTCGCCACTCTCCATCCTCCAGCACTTATCACTTGCTATCTTTCGTACTAGTCCACTCTAAGGAGAAATGCTATCTTGTGGTTTTAGGTGATACACAAAACGCAAGTCGTGCATCCTACTGGTGTGCACGTAGTGCTGTGTTTGTTCACTCCTAAGTCTAATAATCCTCCTTTGGCACAGGGTCTCGCCCTGCAGCTCAGACTCTGATCCTCCTGACTCAGCCTCCCCAGTGCTGGGATTACAGGCGTGCGCCACCATGCCTGCTTTCGGTGGCCAGCACAGCACGTGGACCCTGGGTCCTTGCGCTTGCCAGCCACTTGCCTGCCAAGCTACCTCCCCAGACTCTTAGCTGCTAAGTGTGAGGTCGGCAATGAAATTACATTTTTAAATGGTAACCAAGTACATTCCTCTAAAGACAACAGAAGCATTACTACATACGTCCACTTCAGATATATACTCTTCGGGTCTGTCCATAAACACCGCAGAGACCGGAACAGACGAGTTTTTGGACATCATGCATTTTAATGGGATTTCATGGAAGATCTGATTTCTCTCTCTCATCGTCATTTTCTTCTGAGGAAGTGGGGAATTAATATAAATCACTTTAATTGGTTTGGAACCTTCAAAGAGAAACAGAAAAAAGGGGTGATGAGTATCCAGTCATTTCATTTCTTAGAAAACACGGGTGTGGGGCTGGGGAGACAGCTCGGCAGTCTAAGCGCCTGCCCGGCAAGCGCAAAGGCTCGGGCGCGATCCCTGGACTGCGTGCCCTACTGGCCTGGAATCCTGACCCTGAGTCGGGCGTGGTAGCCCATGCCTGTAATCCCAGTGCTGGCGAGGCTGAGACACGAGGCTCGCTAGGAGTCTGAGCTGCACAGTGAGGCCCTGTATCAAATACATACATACATACACATATACATACACACATGTTAAAAAAACCACACACATGGTGTATGACTGAAGGATCTTGGTGTGAAGAGACAGGGCCAGGGAGAAGGATACTGGCCTCATGCACTTGCTTCTGGGACCAGAAGACTGTGAGGTCCCTTCAAATCTTTGAAAAATTCTGTGCTTCAATGTTAAATTTTATGTTCTACTAAGGCAAGAAAACTAAACTCCTAACAGAATGGTTTTCTCACAGTGTTTAAAAGTAATTTATTTTCTTTTTTCCTTTCTTTTTTGAGACAAGAGTCTTGCTTCATAGCGCAGGCTGGCTTGAATTCGCAGGGACCCTCCGGCCTCAGCCCTCAGGAGTGCTCCACCAGCCCTGGCTCTGGCTTTCACGCTCAATCTTCCTGCCCTTCCTACCCCGTCTACAGGAACTTGCAAGCAGTGATGACAGTTCTGCCACAGAGAGCACACTGCATGTAACTCTGCATCCTGTGTCAGCAGACATAAACGTCTGTGTATCGTACTTATATTGTTATACTTAATAATATTAATGAAATACAGATTAGTGCGGATGTACTTCAACTCTGATTTCAACCACAGTCAAGTGGGGAGTCCTGGAACTCAACCATCTGCAGCTGTCTAACTACAATGTTCCTTCACTTCGCTGAAAGACAGCAGCAGCCCAGCATTTCCAACACTTTGGGCTAAGCTGTAAGGACCTCTCTCACTTCCTAACTGGATCAAAGGTCCTGTAGACCCAATACTTCATCTAGGAGTGTCGATTCAGGGGGTTATTTTGGTACCAGGAGTCAAACTCACAACCTTGCACTTGCCAGGCAGGCCCTGTGCTGCTCAGCTGTGTCCCACTCCAAAGGTGCCGATTCTATAGCAGCTTCGTACCTGAAACATTTCTGAGTTTTTTTTGTTTTGTTCTATTTTGCTTTTTGAGATAGGGTCTCACTTGTAGTTCAGGCTGGCCTTGGATTACACAGCTCAGGCTGGTCTCAAACTCACTGCAATCCTCCTAACTCAGCCTCCCAAGTGCTGGAATCACAGGCATGAGCCGCCACACTCAGCTAAGTTTCTAAGTTTCAAAGTTAAATCTGCCTCCCCTTAAACCAAGATTTAGATTTTGTGTTACAAAAACAACCTAGAGTTAGACAGCTGATGTGCTTCCAGTGTTCTGCTGGGGGTACTGGGGCTTGACTCTAGGGCTTTCGCATCACAGCCTCCCTAACCCTATTTTATTTTATTTTTAGACAGTTGTCTTACAAACTTACCCAGGTGGGGAGGGGCTCGCACCTGTGACCCTCCTGCCTCAGCTCCCTGCAGTGCTGGGCTTACAGGTATGTGCCACCATGCCCAAAACGACATTCCTTGTAAGAGCACTATTTGATGCAGTAAATCACAAACCTGCAACAGGTATAACCTGAACGCAGACTGGAATCTCCCACTGCTCTCTGTAGTCCGGTCCGTGATTATTTAATAAAGTGAACAATGCCTGGCTTGTGAGAGCTATCTGAGGGTGGTATCTTGAAACCAGCTTCTCTGCGTTTGGATCTTTACTAATATCCTGAAAAACAACGTGTAACTTGTAACACTTGTAACTTCATTACAGCCCCTGAAAACCTGATACAGTAATGAAGAAAGGGAGAGAGGGGACTGTATGAAGGGGACTGCAGAACCACTGGGTGACAGTCGTGCGAGGCACAGGTACCACTCGACTTACGTAGTGCACGGCTTCGGCGATCTGTTGCGGGCTTTCGGCAGGGGGCGCGCTGCTTCTTGAGAGCTTTAAGACCACAGGCATTGAGGGGAACACTGTCCTCACAAACTTCACACTGCCCTACATCAACAAAAGATGAGGGTCACTGTAAAAATCCTGAGTTCTTCTAGTAAAAGTATTTTCCGTCACAGGCACTCTGGACTGGAATTTACATTCTATTAAGGTAAATGTCAAATTTAGAACCTTCCTTAAGCCAAGAAGCTCGTTCAGGTTTTTGCCTGACCACACGAGCTGTTTTTGGTTTTGCTTTTTTGAAGGTCTAAGAGAAGGGCTGGAAATGTCCCTGCCCCCTAAATTCCACCTTCTCTTTAGGACGCACAGACCCGAGGTAACAGGGGAACTCCTAAGACAGTCCCTCTGTGCACTTGGCGAGGACACTTCCCCCCCAGAAAGAGGGCTTCCTGTTCCCAGTCGGGAGCATTAAGGGAGATGGGAAAAGGATCAGAAGTGTAGGCAGTAGTGTTACTCTTAGAAGGTCAAACATTTGTACCCATAAGATGAAAGGGTTGGGCTGCACATTTGTGCGAGGTAGTCAAAGTCATCCCACTATTGCTCGACAATTTAAACATGAAGCAGAACGTACAGGACACACAGGTGGTGCTGCAGGTCGACAAGAGCTTACCCTTTCATGCAGTAAACCTTACCAGTGCAAGGAGGGTTTTCTCTAATTTTAATCCTGTCCCTATTCTGAACGGGAAGAACCCCATTAAGCTGGTGACTTCATGAAGAGTGTAAAGTTCTGGATACTTTTTTACTTGTTCAATGCAAGCTCTTAAAATTTGCTAGAAAAAAAAATGAAGGAAAATCACATTTGTATTGTATTTCTCTAACAATGCGACAAAAGTATTTTAGTTACATATGGAACTATGTAATTGTTGACTGTAGCAGGTAACCACTGCATCAATCAAGCTTCTGACTAGAAGGCGTACTGAGTATTGTCATTTCATCTTTTACTTTTCATAACAAATTTTTAACCTAATTTCCTAAAATACAGCTATTTAATAATACTAAAAGTAGCAACCTTATTAAATTTTAAAATTAAATAGAGAAGACACATCATATTTGCTTTGCTATTTAAGAAATTGTCAAAGAAGTCACATAAAAATTTCAACACAATGTACCTCCATGAAAGCAATTATATGACTGATTAGAAATAAGTAAGTTTAATGCTCTAAAATAATGCCCAAGCACAGTGAATTAATGAAGCAGTTACCGTGTGGGTTACTTTCAGCTACATTCTAAACAACAGATGAGACTGTTTAACTCAAATGATGGCGTACTGAGTATTTCCTTCTCCCCAGTTTTCCAGTATTAATGGCTTATCAGGAAATGCAACCAGGAAGGAAGGACTACCCAGGGCCACCCAAAGCGGACACACGTCACCTGCGACAACATGCACACGACGCGGGGCAGCACCGGCGTTGGTGAGAGCACGTCTGTAATTAAACGCACCCAGACACTGTCTTCTAAGAAGTGCACTTTTTTCTTCTGTCCATTCCTGCTATCTTAACCTTACAATGTGCTTTAGATCACAACCGTCTTCAGCAGTAAGCATATCTTAATAATATATAGATGTATCTTTTCATTTTTAGTTTCATAGCTCTTCCCCCTTTTCTTTCTTTTTTTTTTTT